CCCCCAAATCCCTTACCAGACCCTTGATCCAGGCAGCGGCCTGGCAGAGCAGGAAAAAGGGGGGGGGGAGGGATCATGCGCCCCCCCTGCACCATACCAGGCCACTTGCTCTTAACATGGGGCAGGGTCTCTACGTTGATGAGGACAAGGGCCTCGTCCCCACAACCCTGGCCCGGTGGGTAATGAATGAGTACGGGTAACAACTCACCCTTACTCATTCACAGGGAGGGGGCAGCATCTGGGTGTCCCCTTTATGAAAAGGGGACACCCAGATTCAGATAAGCCCCCCCCTGCCCACAGACTCCAGGCCAGGGCTGTGGGGGAGAGGCCCTTGTCCTGCGGTGTCTGGCCTGAAACCCGGAAACAGCACATACAGGACTCAAAACCCCGGACTGTCCAGGTGAATCCGGGACAGGCGACAACCCTAAATCCAAATAGATCCGAATCTGAAACTTCGCAACGATCCGAATTCTGAATAACGAACCGAATCAAATTTTCGGTTCTGAAATCAGAATTGATCCGAAACGCAATGCATTTTGTGAGTCTCCACAGGTCCAATGTCTCACAGTGAAGTCTTTTATATGAATAGCAACAGTGACCCCTGCAGCCTGTGAAGCGCTATGACAACCAACAACCCGTCACTGATCTCGTAACAGGAAACTTTATCAATATTCCGAAAACTGCACAGATACAATTGTATAGAAATGTCAAATTCAGCTGACAAAACCCCAATCGAGGTCACCGGACGGGACGGTCATGTCATCGGGGCGCGATCACACCCCACAATCAGTGTCATGGCTGACCTCATAGTAATCCCCCAAATTGTATCAATTTTTATCATCATAATAATGATAAAAAAGAAGAAAAATTAACAACAATAATAATAATAATAATAATATAATTCTGAAAGGAAAAAGTCAAATATTTCTCTTGTATAAAGAAAAGGAAATTGTTACTTTGTAACAGAGGAGAAGAGATACATTTGTCGGGTTCTCTGTGCCACTTGCAGAACTTCCTGTTACATTCTGTGTAGACAGGAAGTGAGGGAAATCTCCCCAGCGGGGGGGGGGTCAGTGACACAAATAAGAACCCGTCAGAGGTCCTAGCAGCCATATAAGTGTCCCCTGCGGGGTGTTTGACGGCTGAATTACAAATCAGAAGGCAATCAGAAGATTGTTTTCTGTTTAATTTCATTTTAATTCAGAAAGTAGTTGAATTCACCTTTTTGTGACTCCGCCCACCTCGGGCCCCCAGGAAGGATCTGTGCACAGGGAGCCCGGGTACCCTAAGGGGCCACTCAGGAGATATAATAGACTCAGCTTAGTGCAGCTCTGTGATCATTAATATATCATTTTTAAATACAAGCCGTGCCAGTCCCTGAGTGTGTGACCTGCAGACCCTGTACAGCAGAGGAAGAAGCAGCACAAGGAGCCACTCTGGTCATGTGCTGATAAGAAGCACGCTGATCGGAGGAGGGAGCAGAGTGACGGGGAGACGAGCTCATCACTGTGCGACTTCTGCTTTCACTCTCCAGTCGCCCTGGACTCAGAGGAAGTGGGTTGAATGGTGCCCAGCCAAGTGGAGGGGGGGCATTCAGACACCCGCAATATAAAATAGCCGCCAGGGGAGATTCTAACAGTGTGGATGGGGAACCAATGGATTTTTTCAAACAACTTAAAGTTGAGCCAATCAGGAAACCTCTGACTCTCTGCTGATTGGAGGGCTCTAGCTGTGACTCAGCAGTGGGGGAGTGTCTGACTGCTGCAGAGAGGCCGCTGCTTCCACACAGAGCTCCGTCTCTGCAGACTGATGACTGTGTTGAGGATTTGGGGGCTGCTGCGGGAGATCAATTCACTCAAAAAAAAAGTCTGTGCCCCCCCCCC